GAGAATGATGAGGGCAATGAATGTACAAATGTGCTTTACACAATTGATGTGTGTAGGATTGTGATAAGAGTTGTATGAGCCCCTAATAAAATGACTTTAAAAAAATAGTCCTGCAAGCAGAAACAAACTTTCTTTTCACCTCCTGGTGACTACTGCTTCCAAGTGTCATCTTTGACTTGCTGGAGTAAATCACCACACTGGGCTTACTCAGCATCTTGCAGTCTGACTGAATATCTGAAACAACAGGAAATCTCTGCAGGCATATTTCAGTAATATACCTCCATGCCAGAGAAAGGAGTCTTCCATGTCTCTCTAAACAGTTTTTCAGGTCCCTACCCACTGCTGAACCTCAAGAGCTCGGAGGACATTGGCCGTGACTCCAATGGTTTTAATGATCTGCTCTCTTTCTTTCTTGGACCTAGACATTCTTAGAGTACTCTGATGCTGGTGCTTCCTTTGTCTTTGGTGAGAAGTACAAAGATCACTTCTTTGCATTCAAGGTAAGTCCAGCCTCTTTTTCTTTATAGACACTGCCTTTTCCATAACTTAGCAGTTTTGTAGACACTTGTGTAGAACCTAACCATTGCCCTGAATCAGTTCTGACACACAGTGAGCCTATAGCACAGAGGAAATTCTATCAAATTTCCAAGGCAGGGTCGGCATCAATTTGACTGATGGCAGTGAGTTTGAGTTTTTAATCTTTATTGAACAGACAGCTTTGGGGAGTGGCTCATGTTTTGAACCACCAACCTAGGTTAGCAGCTAAACTCTTAGCCATGCTACCCCCAGGGCTCCACTGACCAAAAAACAGGCATAGGACTGCCTGCCATGTCATGGGTGTATAGTACATATCACTACCACTTTTCTTCAAAGTTTCACCTGAAATCAGGGGCTGCTCACATTTTAGTTTGGTAAATTGGCATTAAAGGAACAATCTAGAGGAGGACAGACATATTCTAATATGTGAGGGCTTCGAACAGTTTTTGGAAAAGCAGTATTAAAACACTTGGAAATTGTCCCACAAACTTCTTGAAGCCTCTTTGCATTTAGGGAGGATATGTACCTTTGCTTGGGGTAGTTAAAAAATCCACACACCCCTGGCCATCTGTCAAAGGAAACACTGGCAGGGGTAACAGGATCTGGAACATCACAGGACATGGGGGGGGGGGGCATGATATATCTGGCAATTAAAAGCCACATGGTTGCTCATGCTTCTCCATGTTCAGGAGCAATGACAACTCTGAGCCCAGGAAGTCCTTAGTATCTTGGCTGGTCACCCTAACACCCATGGTCCTCAGGCGGAGTGCCTCCCTCCATTCCTCTACCACTACCTGACAAGGCTCTGAACTTACTTAGGGGCAAAGCAAATTATTTTTGCCTAGTCAGGGACTCCCTATTTAATAAAAGCTCAATGTGAGAAAGCAAGCTATGTGCTTTTCATTAGGATTTAATGTAGTGGTAATTTCGTTAGACAAATCGGATTCATTTAGTGCTCTTGATTATGAGAGCGATCAAAGAGCTACAGAGGCACCAAATCTGAGTGTGCAGCGAGATGTCTCCAGAACCCAGAAGTCTACAATGTTGTTGATAGTTGTACTACAATGAGGATCCCAGAGAGCCGTGTACCACAGAGTAGAAAGAACTGTGCCCCACAGAGTGAACAAGGTTGGCACCTTTGAGAAGCAGATTGCCCAGGGCTGGCTCCCCAGGTCCCTCTGGGAGGTACACTTCTAACCTTCAAGAGAAGTCAAACATGAGAGCTTTTGTGCTGCCTTTGGGCTACACAGCCCACACCATCAGATAGAATGGTGACCTAAGCAAGCACACAGTTAGAAATCTCCTGGATGTGTGAATGTGATCCGTTTCTCTCACTTTCTTCTTTCCCCATGCAAACAAACAATAATGAAACTGGAGAATAGTTCTTCTTTTTAAATTCCAGAGCAATGGCTTGTTACTCTTTCTTTGAAGAGACTTTTTAGATAGCAGCAAAACTACTTGGTCAACAGATCAGCTGTTCTCACAGTGCGGTCCAGGGAGGCCAGGGTATCCCTAAAACACTTTCAGGGTGTTCTGACATCCAAACTATTTCAAAACCATCCTAAGAGGTTATTTTACTTTAAAGAAAAACAACAACTTTCTTTTTAGAGCAGCATTACGTTTTTATAAAATGGTGCAAAGTGCCAAAAAATAACAAATCATGCCGACTGCCATTTGGGTGATTCTGGCTCATAGCAACATTACATGGCTCAGAAATGATCAGATTTAGGGCACACCCACCCTACACTAGTGTGGTCATATCAGCCTAAAGAAAGCCTTGTCTTCAGATACAGTCACCTCAGCAGGTAGAAGTTCAGATTACAACACCCATTTAAAGGACATGATCCCATCCATAACAGAGTAGAGTTTGTTTTGCTGGGAAAGCTCACCTGGTCCCAAGCCCAGACACGGTCAGTTCCTGGCAGGGCTTCCCCAGGAAGCTCATCTCCTCTAGGTCGTTGGTCCTTGCCCTCGAGTCCAGTCTGACCCCTGGTGACCCCATGTGTGGTAGAGGAGCCCTTTGCCACAGTGCTTTCAAGACTGTGGTGGCAGAGCACCAGGCCTGGAGCCTCAGGGAGGATTCAAACTACTAACCTTTTGATGAACTGTTTGTGCTCCAGGGATCCTCCTCCTCTTCTGGAAGGTCCCTACAGATACTTGTTAAGAACTCGCTCATGGCCGTCCAGCCAATTCTGCCTCCAGAGACCCAACAGGGCAGGGTTGAACTGCCCTCGTGGGTCTTCAAGACTGTAACTCTTTAGTGGAGTAGAAAGAAAGCCTGGTCTTTCTCCCACGAGTGGCTGATGGTTTCCAACTGTCGACCTTGCAGTCCTCAGTCCAATGTATACCCACGACGCCACCACAGCTCCACATATAACATTCAGCCTTTCTGTTTTTCAATGTGTCATTTTTCCAACAGGGGCCTGGCAGTGTAATGGTTACACATTGGGCTGCGATCCGTGTGGTCAGCAGTTCAAAACCACCACCAACTCCTCGGAAGAAAGACTGGGCTTTCTACTCATGTAAATAGTTACAGACTCGGATACCCACAGGGGGCTGCTATGAGTCAGCAGTGACTCGATGGCAGGGTGTTTGGTTTGATGTTTTGATTGTTCCTACAAGGAGCACTGATGGTATAGTGGGATAGGCACTGAGCTGCTAACTACAAGGTCAGTGGTTCAAACTCACCAAACATCCCAAGGGAGAAAGATAAGGCTGCCTACTCCCATAAAAAATTGACTGTCTCAGAAACCCATGGGGGAGTTCTACTTTGTCCGATAGGATCACTAAGAGTGGCAATAGACTCGATGGCAGTGAGTTTGGGTTTTGATTGAACCCACACTGCTGAAATGTTTTCACTTTTTAGGGCCTCTGAACTTTACACACTGAAATAGAAATAGGTTCATGTCCTGAGTTGAATTTAGAATTAGAGAAGGTAGAAAGCCCGGTGAAGTCGACGCTGACACAATGGGACCTTGCAGAACAGAGTAGACCTGCTCCTTAAAACTTCTGCGATGGTCAGTCTTTACAGGAGCATGCTGCCTCATCTTCATGCCACAGACTGGCTAGTGGGTGGTGTCCACAATGTGGTAAAAGTCACAATGTCAGAAGGTTACGACTATAACCTTCTAACCAGATTGTACTGGGGTCTGTGGCCCTCAACACTGGCTTCCTGGGGCAGTAGCCTCTTGCCTCTTCCAACAAAGCAGAGTCCCTGAGGTAATATCCCCGAGAGGAGCCTTCCTCAAGCTTTCAGGGATGTTGCTCCTCCTGCCCATTAAGGCCAATGAAAGGCATTTATGTAAGTGGGCCTTGAATAAGGGCACAGAATGTCTTTTAATATCTGTTGTTAACAGACATTTCTAAATTAGATCTGTACAGATTGTCCTTGGCTGTTCTGGGCCTCTCTGGAGGACACTTGTCTCTCAGCATTCAGCTGGGGGTGGCTGGGGAGGTGGGGAAGCCCACAAGGGCCATATGGGAGTGGTGGGGAAGGGGTAAGATGAGTCTTAAAGCATCGCTCCATTCAGTCTCAGCAGGGCAGAAACTACCTTGCAGGCATCCAAAGAGTACTTAGAAAATAGAAAAATACTAGCTTTATCAACAAAGGTTCCATGGTGGTATAGTGGGTTACACATTGGGGTGCTGAACACAAGGCGAGTGGTTCAAACCCAGCAGCTGCTCCTCAGGAGAAAGATGAGAAGCTCCCATAAAGACCTGCAGTTTCAGAAACCCTAGTGAGCAGTTCTGCTGTGACCTACAGGGTTTTCATGAGTCAGAATCAATACAATGTCAGTAGACAGAATGTTCCCAAGTTTACCCACTCCTTTTGTGATTCAAGAGTCTACAAACAGGTAGAAGAATTGTTCTCTTAAAAGCTAAAAGAATGAATGTTTAAACATAAATGAAGTGTTGCTAAGGGTTTTGTCAGAGATGACCCTTGAAAACAAGATGCTGAATGAAGGCAGCTAGACACAAAAGGCCAAATATAATCTGATTCCACTTACAAGGGAGTTTCATCAATTTCATTACTTTTAATTGTATTTTCCCACAATTTTTTGGAGCCCTCCTTCTCTATGGGAAATTTAGAAGAAGCAAATGCTTAGCGACAAATGGTTTCCAGGGCGGGAAGGAAGAGGAACTGGGGAGGCCTTGCGTTCTGTTCGGGGTGATGACAAGTTTTCCAAACGGATGGTGCCGGTTGCACAACATGGTGCCTGTAACTTGTGTCCCTGAGTTGTGCCCTTAGAGAACGGTTCCACTGGCAAATGTCTTAACCAAATCAATGGGAGATAAATATATATATTTCACTTACATAAAATGTGGAAAGAAAAGAGTGACAGTTCACTGACTAGCAGTTGAATCTGTGTCAGCCCTAACATGCTGGATCTGGTCTGTGTAGAAACATCCCTGTTCCTGGTTAGGAGCTGAGGTAGTTCACCGTTGATCTGACCAAGGTTCCTATGTTAATTAGTGAAGAGGACCCTGTCTGCTTATTATCAGTACAGACTATCTGCCAATGGCCTTCAATGTTGTTGTTGTTGTTGTTGTTTAGTTACTGCATATTTCCCCCAAACTGTTCTCTACTGCTGCTCATCATTTTGTGTTATTGGCAGTGGAAGCGAGGGAGAGCTGGTAAACAGAAACCCGCTGAATCACATTTTGAATGGCTGATTTTTAACTCTTAATTGATTTAGGGGGTGCTGATATAATGAAGATGAAGTGTTTACCGCCAGAAAGAAAAGTCCTTTTTCTCTTATCTTTCATGCTCCAGTAGCTAGGTCATGCCTTGCACCTCCACTAGGTGTCCACCCACCATCCAAACACCACCTACAAATGAAGAGGAAAAAAGCGGGGTTTATTGCTTCTCTGAGATTCTACAGTAAGGAAAGATCTCTATAGCAGATGAAAGTGAAAAAACAAAACAAAAACTTGTCAGATGCATTATGAAATATATTCAAGGATATCCAGAGCCAATTAGAACCCTTAGCCGGGGGAGGAAAAAAAAAAGGCAGCTGGTCCCACACTATTAAGAAATGGTTGCCAACAATATTAACCGACCACGGCGTCTTTCCCATGCCCAGATCCTGCCGATTGTGGTTTTCTTCAGCACGGTCATGTCGATGCTCTACTACCTCCGACTGATGCAGTGGATCATTAGAAAGGTACGGGGCTCGGAGGGGCTAGAGTGACAGGTACACAGCTGCTTATTTCAAGGACAAAGGCTTGATGGTTTTTTTTTATATGCCCTCCTCTTCCTACCAAGCTTCCTCCCTATCAACTGATGAGATTCAAACCCCCAAAATCTGTGTAAATTACTCAAATGTGTCCATACCAAAGAACCAAATCCATGACCATTCAGGCAATTCTGACCCCTAATGGCCCTATCATCATAGTAGAACCCATCCCTCCCACCCCTCCGCCCCCAAGGGTTTCCAAGGATGCAGATCTTTATAGAGGCAGACTGCCACATCTTTCTCCTGTGGGGCAACTCGTGGGTTCAAACCACCTTTCCACCAGCCTTTCTGTAACAAGCCCTTAAGCACTGTCCCCAAGTCTCTTTCCTGTGCCACCATGGGAATTAAATTTCTGGGACTTCTAACTCTGATGTTGAGCTTGCTGGAGAGCTCCATGTAACCTGAACAAAAGTAATGAATGACTCCCACAGGTTAGACATGTGCCAGGGCAACAAAGGTCCCTCCTTCCTTGGCCAATACCCGAAAGCCCCTGCTGATCTCAGAGAGGCTGCAAGTGTGCGCACGCCTCGCTCTGGTGTTGCTAACAACAATGAAAGCAAAAAAGAGAATCTGAGGGCGTTTATAAACCCTGCGAAGTTTAATCCCATTTCTCTGCTCCAGAAATGCCAGTCCTGCCCTCATAAATTAGATCAGTAGGAATTAGAAAATTAGGACTGTTGTAAGCTAATCATGAGGATGGATGCATATGACAATGGGAGAATGCTTCCAGGACTTGGGCAGGATCACAACACTTTTGTTGATTCCTAGAACATCAGTTAAAAATGTGCCCGATAAGAGAGAGACCCAGCAAACCAGCAGAATCTAGAATTTCAGCAAGAGCTCTCAGAGCCTATAGTTTTTATTTTAAATGTTTAAGCATTCAGAATAACAGCGCTAATCCAGGGCTTACGAACCTATAGGGGACAGCAAGTAGAATGAGGGTTTCTGGGTGGTGCTGTGAAAAGCGGGTGGTGGGGTACAGTTGGGGGGCAGGTAGCAGAAGGGAGTCAATGCTGAGGAGACCAGGAAGAAAAAGATTGTTGTAGCAATTATACAGTACTGCTTGACGTGATTGAACTATGGATGATATGAGATATATATATATTAACTCCCAATTTGAAAAAAAAAAAAGGAATAACAATGCTTATGTCTAACAAGCAGGAAAGAGGAATGGATGCAATAGGAAGACAGCCAGCCTAAGGCAGGTACTATAGTCTCGTGTTGAGAGGTCAGAACAAAAGTGCCACTCTCAACCTTTGAATTGAGTTGGGTTTTTTTTTTAAAAAACTAAACCTCAATTGTACGCCAACTCTGTCAGCACTCATGTTTATGCCTCAGTTTCCTCTTCGGAAAAATGGACATAATTAGAGGCCCTCCCTCCAAGGATTATTGTGAAAATTAATGAGTCATCCAGGTGAGAGGATCAGAGCAGGACCTGAAATGCCGAAAGCCTGCCATATGGTTGGCAGTTATTACGTCTATCCTTGTACACAATAGAGTTGCAGACATACATTTGCAAATGTTCCAGGCACTACATACAATGACCCAGGCTCGCCATTCAAACAGGAAGGTTTGATTGACCTACTCTAATGGACTAGCTAAAATATAATTAAGTTTACTGCTTCCACTGGTTAGCAACATTTTCAACATTTTACTCCAGTTTCAAGATTTTTATCCCTACTTGGAAATTTGGTGCACACAAATAATCCACTAACTTCTTTCCTCTTTGGTTTTAGGTCGGATGGCTAATGCTGGTTACTATGGGAACATCTCCTGTTGAATCTGTTGTTGCTTCTGGCAATATATTTGTTGGACAGGTGAGTTGTAATATCTACACACACACACACAAAATTGACCAGCTGCAATGGATGGGCTCTTGCCAGAAAATTAAGTAAGGCAATGTTACTGTGTTGGTGTTTCTTTTAATGTAAGAATAAAAGTGTTAAAAGAAAAAATTCCCTTTATAGTAATGTTGAGCTACCAGAGAGCAAGAAAAAGAGACTTTCTCTTTTAAGACCCTTGTCTAGTGTGGGCTAGTGTATAATTTGTGTTCTTAGAAATTTGTGGAGAAGAGGAATTAAGCCATTTTTCCCAAAAATAGCACTTCTCCTTGGTAGAGTCTTAGTACATCTGTGAGCCCTCTGGCCTGCGTTGCAGCAGTTTGGAGCTCTCCGTTTATCTTGTGGCTGCAGACATGTCACCGCCGCCTTCAGGTTCTGTCGGCTAATGCTGACCGAGGATTTGGTTTGCGGCAATGAAAGAGACCAAGACGGGCTTTCCTCCAAAACTGTAAAGCCCTCCCTACCCACACTCCTTCTCCATGTATCTGAACTAGCCACCACTCTGTCTCTGCTGAATTTGAAGAAAAAACCTGAAGAGATTTCAGATGACACTGCACCTTCCTGATTCATCCCTTGGGAAATGCTAGTTGCCTAAACCCTCATTTAAGCCAAGAAATGCCGTGCCAAGGGACATCGATCAAAATAGCAGCATGCCTAAGGGTTGTCTAAGTGAAGTGGTCATAAGCTGCTCAGGCTATACAGCTTCAGGCAAGATGGGTTCACACACCAAGGAAACCAAGTGTGAACACTTGCCAGCACCAGTGCCCAAGAAAATTTCATCTGAGGCGAAAATCAAGTCATCCGGAAAACACAGGCCCCGGCGTTCATCTGCTTGAGACAGGGGAAGCAGGCTTCTTAGAGGCAGGGGGCATACTTCCTTCCCTAGGAATTGAATTCTATAGTCATAAAATCTCTCAGGACTAACGAGGGCATCCTCTTGAGTTGATTACTTCTACCTGCAGAGTAAGAGGGCTCGTGTACTGGGTTTCCACTTAGTCCATAAATTGAGGCTCAGTACATTCAGTCTCACAGAACAATTAGAAATAATGAGGGGAAAATTGTAAAATTGTACACATGCTTTTGTGGTGCTCAATTTAGTACTTAATATGCTGAAAGTACAGCTATTACTAATGGAGAGGCCCATACTTCAGGCTTCCTGCCCTCCTTAATGAGATTCAAGCCTTTGCATCTACTGGCAATCCTCAGGTTATTGTTCCTAAGTATACCTTTAAGTCGCATTTAGAAGTAAGTTGGACCAGGTGCATAGAGTTCTTAGTTAGTCTTATTTTAGTGCGGGAAAGGAGCCTTGGGTTGTAGCTGTGTAGGGTAAGCAATGGGCTGCTAACCACAAGGTCAGCAGTTCAAACCCACCAGCCACGCATGGGAGAACGATAAGGCTGTAGGCTATCTTAAAGATGTCTTGGAAATCAGCGATAGGATGGCTGTGAGGCAGAACAGATGAGATGGTAGCTGATTTTAGTGTAAGAAAAGGCTCAACGCCATTTTTAATTTTTAAAAGCTGCAAGGAAAATGATTATGATGAAAGCTTTGTTTCAAGCAAGGGTTGGTTCAGTCATTTCAAAGTGAAGGCAAATTCGCATAACATTAAATATCAAGTAGGAATAGTCCCCAAGTCTGAGGTTCATAACCCAGGGCCTGTCTGTACACTGTTTGTACCCCAAGGGGAGGTATGAGTGAGGTGCCACTGATTTTTGTTTTGGAAAGGGCCTCTGGGTGCCTGCACTTGATATTAGTGGCCTTTGGGGACTCTTGTGATTTCCCTGTGGTGTCAGCAAGGGGGCTTGAGGTCTGTTGTGATGAAGCTGGAAGATAGGAGTCACAAAGGCCTGGGAGCCATCAGTCTACAAGACCAACCACTGGGTAGAGTTACTTGCTGCTGATGTCCTACTCTTGGAAAAATGTACCAAGTTCTCAGTGTCCCACGTCATCACAACCCTAGGTTAACTGGAGGGTTCATGGGCACTGCCTTCCAAATTTACGCATCCATTACCACCGCTACCAATGGATAGATTCCTAAGCTTGAACATGCATAGCCTCACCTAAATGACTTGTTGAAACACAAATCCCTGGGCCCCAGAGTTTCCAATTCCTTAAGTCCAAGAATTTGCGTTTATAAAAGGTTCCCTGGAAATGCAGGTCATGTTGGTCTAAGTGCCGCACTTGGACCAGAGTGGCCTTTGAGTGAATTCCAACTCCTGGCAGCCCGGTGTGTATCAGAGGCCCATGGGGTTTCCAATAGCCAATGGTTTCTAAGGAGATTATCTCTTCTTCAGAGCCAACCTTTTGGATAGCAAGGTTCATAGCTGAGTGCGTTAACCATTTGTACCTCGCAAGGACTCATATTCTCCACAATTTAACTGGCAGCGTTTAGTCTAGTCACCTTTCCTTGTCTATAGACAGAGTCACCACTGCTGGTTCGACCGTATCTACCATACATCACCAAGTCCGAGCTCCATGCCATCATGACTGCTGGATTTTCCACCATTGCCGGAAGCGTCTTGGGTGCCTACATTTCTTTTGGGGTAAGAATTACAGAAAATTCAACCTCTTCTTTCTTCACATTGTTACTGGGTTCTCGGTCTCTCTCATTGCCAATGGAAAAGGAAGCCAAGGATATATTCCATTTGCTTCCTAGTTGGTTACATTGTTCTGACTTTTGAGTGCAGTGGCCTCTAGGAGCTCATCCCCCTGCTACCTAACTGCAAGTTAGATCCACCGAGAACAGATGAAAGTCACACAGTGAGATTACTGTATAAGGAAGGTGCCACCTACCTTCCTAATATGATCAATGAAGACAAACATGTGCATAAGCAAAGGTGAACAAAGCTGATGGTGCCTGGCTAAAAAAGATGCATGTAGCGTCTGGGGTCTTAAAGACTTAAAGATAAACAAGCTGCCAACTAGCTCAGAAGCAGCAAAGCCCACATGGAAGAAGCACACCAGCCTGTGTGACCACGAGCTGTCGAAGGGATCAGGTATCCAGCATCAAAGAACAAAAAATCATATCATTGTAAAGGTGGATGAGTGTAGAGTGGAGACTCAAAGCCCATCAGTAGTCAACTGGACACCCCCTTGCTGAAGGGTTGTGGGGAGGGGATGAGTCAGTCAGGGTACAGGGTAGCAATGATGAAACATATAGCTTTCCTCTAGTTCTTAAATACTTCCTCCCCCCACTATCATGATCCCAATTCTACCTTACAAATCTGGCTAGACCAGCGGATGTACATTGGTACAGATAGGAACTGGAAACAGGGAATCCAGGACAGATGACTCCTTTAGGACCAGTAGTGAGAGTGGAGATGCCTGGAGGATGGAGGGAATGTGGGGTAGAAAGGGGGAACTGATTACAAGAATCTACTGATTACAAGAATTACAAGGGGGAACTGATTACAAGAATTACAAGGGAGGTATAGCCACCTCCCTGGGGGATGGACAGCAGAGAAGGGGGGGAGATGTTGGACAGTGTAACATATGACAAAATAATAATAATTTATGAATTATGAAGGGTTCATGAGGGAGGAGGGAGGAGAGAGGAGGGGGGAAATGAGGAGCCAATATTAAGGGCTCAAGTAGAAGGCAAATGTTTTGAGAATGATGAGGGCAACAAATGTACATGTGTGCTTGACACAATGGATGTATGTATGGATTGTGAT